GAGAACGCGCAGGACGTCGAGCTCCTCCGGGCCCATGACCCTCCACATGTCGCGTCCGACGGGTCGCGCGCGATGACTCTTCGCGCGGCGGTCGAATCGTGTGGTCGTTCGTAGCCGATGATCTCTTTTCTCCGAGCGAATCGCGCGGTTGGATCACCCCCAGTCGTGCGGTACGCCTGCGCGACACTGCGCGACGATCCGATCAACGGTACGCGCCGATTCGTCCTCAACTTCCGGCCGATCGCGGAGAGGCGACGTTCTCTTCTTTCTTCCTTCCGTGGCGTCGAGATAGCGCGCGCGGCTCTCGGTCGCAATCGGCCGCGCGACGGATCTTTGCAGGCGCGCGCTGTAGCGCGGGTTCTCGCTACCCTCCTCGCATCGAACGCTGGAGGCGACGCGAGCGCTCGCCACTGAGCGGTCCATTCGGAAGGTTATGTCCCGATCGGGTGTACGCGGTACACTCGAGACGCGTCGCCTATCCTGTCGTCGCGAGGTGAAACGCGCGGGGACGCGAGCGGCGTGTCTCGTGAAGGGCCGTGCTCGCGCGCGAGTCTCACCGTTTTTCGACGCTGTCCATCTGGCGCGCGCGAAGAGTCGCGGATAGGTCGCGAAACGATAGAGTTGAGATTTCAATCCGATAGAGTTCAATCGTTCGAAGTTTGATGTACCCCGCTGAGTAACAAAACCTTGTTTGAGCGACTCGAGAGTCACACCACGCTTCGCATCCTTCCTCGTGACTTCCCTCGAACGACGACGAGGTAAATAGATAGTCGGAAGAGCCTCGTTGCGCAGCGCCGACGCGCGATCGCGCGGCCGTCCTGGGCGCGATCCAGCGAGGGAGGGAGCGAGCGAGAAGCGAGCGACCGACCGAGCGAACTTCCCGCGCGCGCCGATCGTGGCGATCGCCGCGACGTTTCTTTATTTTTATTTTTTTGAGAGAGCGCTGAGGCGTCGTTCTCTCTCTCTGTCGTAATCGCTCGTGACACGCGCGCGCACGTCGCTCGCTGGATATTTATTTTGTTTATTCGAAGGTACAGCTCTCGCGTAGTTCCCGTGGCGATCTCCGACGATCCTCCCCGCGCGAGAGAGCTGATCGTGAGGGAGGGAACGATGAAGATCGCGACTCTTTGGATCGATGTGCGTTTTGCGCGCACACACACACACACACACACACACACACACGACTCAGTCACACACACACACACACACACACACACACACATATATATATATAACGTCCGCTGCTGGTCGTGCCCCCGCTTGATGGATGACGCTGTAGATCTCTCCGCCGTCGCGAGATCGTGCGGCGTGGCAGCGCGCGACGTTCTCCTTCAGGGTGAACTCTCCGAGTTGGCGAAGAGTCGTCGAGCCCGCGCGAATCCCGTGGCTGACCGTCGCGGCGCGATCGTTCGCTCGCCTCGACGATCGACGATTCACCCCGCGTTGGTGGCGGTTTCTCCTCAGTATCGCGGGTACGTGTCTCGTCGTTCTTGGCGTCGTCGTCGTCGTCGTTCCTGGTATCGTCGTCATCGTCGTTCTCCCTCCGACGTGGCGCGTCCCGCGTGGCGTCCGGGCGACGTGGCCGCGCTGCTGGCGACGCAGCAGCCATCCACCCAGCACCGGTGATCTCGATCGATCGTCGTCGTCGTCGTCGTCGTGGTCGCGATCGTCGTCGTCGTCGATAGTGGGGGGACCCGCGACGCGCGCGGGACGTCCGCGTGGACGACCGCGGGGACGACCGCGGGGACGACCGCGAATCGCGGAACGAGCGGGACGGCCGCGGGGACCCGACGA